AGAATGGGGCGCGCTTTTTGTGTGTCATTTCAGGCACTGTGATGAAAATTGCTTGCTGAACAGATATTATTCCACCAGAACTGCTAGCGGCTACCTGATGGATGTCCCAAAGAGCAGAGGTGAAGCTTCGCCGCCTTCGAGCATCCTATATTCATCATCTCAACAACAAAAGCAATCATCTGTTTCAAATTTTTAAACAATTCGCAGCTTCATTTGCTTCATAATCCCATCCTTGCTGGTTTCCTGTCTAGAATCGACTTTTTTTGGATGTTACATATCAAAGGATAACGACTGATGCGATCGGAAGCGAAAGAATTTACATGGCAACAGCGACTAAGCCGGCTGTGAATAAGTTAGAAAAAAGTCAAAAACGATCCGCGGAGGCAAGGAAGCTACTGAAGAGTACCTCTTCACTGCCGATTGTTTTCTGCGAGATTAACGACGGTATTATATCAGAAGCACAGGCTGACCTAATGCAAACGAGTGATCCAAGACCTAGCGTACAGTCCTCCCTTGAGTCGCTGTCGCCTCCCATGACCAATGATTTGATTTTCAAAAAGTCTCCGACTTATCATAAAGAGTAAGTTCTGTTACTGGACAAATTAAGTGCTTTGGCAATTAGTTTTATGCGTTATTGCAAATTTATGAAAATACAAAAAGGCATATTGACCGGAGGCTGTCGGTGTGTGTACGCATGTGTGTATGTGTGTGTGTGTGTGTATGCGCATGTGTGTGTGTTCACACATTTATCACCCACTTTTAACTCAGCAACCGGTGAAGCTTTTGGAATGTGTTCCCACCCCTTATGCTGTGTTTCACTTTTAAAATCCGATTACGTACTCCTGGGTTCCATGTACGGTAGACCAAAAAAATTTTTAATTTTTTGACGAGAAAGCGATTTCATGAACCAGATAAAGCAGAAAGCTGAGACTTCACAGGACATTCTGTGCCTTTATGTAAGCTAAAGATTTAAAATTCAGACCAAACGCACGAGCACATAATGAGTACCGATAATCCAAAGCTGCAATTTTGCAATAGCCGGCAAAATGCCAACTTGGGAACTGGGCTAAGCAGGTCCCTTTGATTTTGCGAGAATATTTGACATGTAAGTGTGAGTTCGTACACGTGGATTGAGCATTCATGTACATCTGCCCTATGTGTAAGAGCATGTCAAACTATTTTGGGAGGAAAAGCGAGAGAGGTAGCTAAGCTGGGAAACTGAAATTTTCTGAGGATACGACGATGCGCGACTAGAACATTTGAAACTCATCTTTCGCAGAAGTCTAAATCTCGTGCGTGAGCAGGTAACACTTCCAGTTGAAACATTGCTGGCACCCATTTAGCTTTCAAATCAAGGCCCCAGTCGTTTCTGTGTTCGACGCTCGGTGCTGCACAACCCCCACCTCTCGCGAATCAACCCTAAGTTGCATCGACAACCGCCAGGAAGGAACGCATGGGAGGGGGCCTCTCGCCTTCCTCCCCCGCCCCTTCCCCGCACTTCTCGGATCCGCCACTGCCTGCGGCTAGTGTCTCGTGCTTGGACGAGGCATAAGGCGAAGATGTTATGTACAGCTTTCATGTAAATTGCTTACTACAGGCAGTTCTCTTCTTCTGAACAGTTGTTTGGATACAGAATTTTTAAGCATTGGTTACTTGTCCCGTTGTGACTCCAAATATGCAAAATGAGTTCTCGTTCATGTCATTTCTTCGCAGGTACGCTGAGCTGATATCACCTACCAAATTCAGCTAGCTGGACAAATTTCACTTCGAACTCCTGCACTTCACAACATACTATGCTTTCGGGCTGTGCCTCCCATTTTTATACAGATCTGCATTGTCACTCATTGCAAAGTATTAATGACATTCGTTTTCACTGCTGCAAAGGCTGATCTCTTTCGCGCACCAGCAACTTCGGATCTGTCTGGTCACTGAAGCCGTCACTGACAACTGACACACCACATAGCTGCAGAGTAAATTACCTGAATTTTGGGAATCAGTAAGACATTGACTCCAACTGCTGAAATTCCAAGCGATCTGACTACGGGACAAAGTAGTACAATCCCAGACTGAAACGCTCCACTCTTGCTGGTGCGTTCCTACGCTTTTATGTGTTCTAGCGCAATATGGAAACGCAAAAACGCATATTGGCAAGATGCTGTCTACGCGTGTGTATCTGTGTGTTCGCAATTTTTTCACCCATTTTCAACCCGAGAACCAGAAATGTTTGAAGGCTGAAAGTTCGAGAGTATGCGCCCATTATCTGTGTGACCCTCCTGTTTTAATATCATCAACCGCATGCGCCTAGATGCCACGTCCGGACGCCTTAAAAAAATACGCGAATTTTTCGGCGGGAAAGAGATCTTGGGAACCAGAAGGGATGGAAAGCTGAAACTTTACAAGAATATTCTCTGTACATGTGTGAGCTTAAGATTTCAAATTCAGCTCGCAGGTGTGCGTGGCTTTCATGTACGGGCACGTGAAAGTTTTGTCGGGAAAATTGCTAGTTCAGCAACCAGAAAAGTTGGAAGGCTGAAATTTTAAAGGTATATTCCTCGTTCACGTAAAATCTAAAGATTTTAAATTCAGCCCTCGATACGCGTGGTACTTACATGCGGGCAAGTGAAAGTTTTGGCGGAAAAATTAGTAATTCGGTAACCAGAAAAGTCGGCCAGCCACGTAGGTGTCGCGACTGATTTTTAGCCGTCATGCTTTCCATCAGCGACTGTAGTTCGAGATCCTCTTCAAGCCTCCTTGTAATGCGCCTACGGAGAAGGGAGTGCTCCAGGATTCAAGTTTTGTCCCTTTTCCTGTTCCTTTAACAGCATTTTCGTAACTGGGGGGATCCTCGACAGGAAGCTTATCAGCAAGACATTTGTAGTCCTGATCGCCGTTATCATCCGTCCGGCATTCTCGGCATTCCCGTTGTGGTCCAGTCGGCATTCTCGAAGAGACATCTCCTCGCCATCAATTTCTGTGCGCCTTATACGCTGATTTTCTGGGTGCAGTACTCTTCTTTCATTAACCTGGACGAAAATGCATTCTAGTCCGCAGTATGCAGCGGTCACTTTCTGTAAAGAAGAGGATGCCGCGGAAACGTCTTTGAGAAGCGCCAAGCATCGACCAAGATAACGTCGGTTTCCTTCTTTTTCCGTCTTTAGTCAATATTCATTCTTTTTTTTTTCGCGTTCCTTTTTTTTCGTTTTGTGCACTGCTTAGCACTTCATACAAAGATTATCAAGACCGCGCAGATTATCAGTATGGGCATGCCACATTAGTGTTGTTATTGGGATGCTTCCACATATTGGGCACAACTATGCCAGGCCTTTCCATCCTAAGAGAAGAAGAAGCTTCATAATAGTTATAAATGACATAATTTAAACAAAAAACACAGGAGGATCACAGGCTAAAAGACAGTGATGTGGCATGCTTTTCAAAAAAAAATTGGAGTCATTTGCTCACTTTCTTGCCTTGCATGTTCCTCTCGGCCAGATTAAATCAAAACATAGCGAAGTGTGCTACAAAAATAGTCTAAAAAAAGTCCATTCATTAAAAAATGAATTCAGTGTAACGCTGGCACTGAGATGTCAGTTAAATAACAACGCGATGCAGTCTAATATTTTAGGAATGCGAGATTAGTGTTCCAGAAGACTACCCGCACAAAGACAATCCAGAGCAGGACCAGCGACACATCATGCCGATCCGGAAACCGTCAAAATTTCCTTTTGCAGAATGTTAGCAAACATTTGCAAAGGTTCGTTTAGCTTTTCCTTACAAGCAATAAAAATTTCATGTCTTTTCATTTGATAGAGTTTCAAGCATTGTTTTTCAATACGCGAATCATTACGCTCTCTTAGTTTTGTTTTAGTACTGTTCACACCAAACGGATATCCGGAAATGTGGTCGTAACAAAGACGTTTTTATGCGTCTTTTTTTTGCGCCTGCGTAATGCAAAAACTAATGTTGTCGAAGAGATGTCTGTGTATGCGTCTGCAACGAGTTTCCATCTCGAGATCCACAAAAGCTACAAGGGCTGAAACTTTGGCAAGTTAATCTACATATGCGTACAGGCCCCTATCCTCAAAATGGACGCTCACTTCCACTTAGTTCTCAAGTACGGGCATGCGAAAGACTTCTCGGCGAGAAAGCGTTTTCGGAAACGGCACAGGCTAGGAGGCTAAAGCTTTACAGAAATGTTCCTTGGCTGCGTCTAATCCAAAGGTTTCAAATTCAGCCCTCTGGCATTCCTAGATCTCACACACACAAAAGTCAAAGCTTACATTGGCATCACGCCAACTCCAGTTTTAAGATGGCCAAAAATTTGCAGGGAGCTGTAATTTTGCAATTTTACTTACCGCTCACTGCTGTGTCCGCGAAAGTAAACTGAGCTTTCCAGCCCCTCTGCATCTCACGAATGGACATGTCAAATTTCGCGCAGGCACTTTTGTTACTTCAGAATCGAAGCAGCTGGAGGACTGGAACTTTCTGAGCATAACTGACGGTGGCCTTTGACCAGGTGAACGTAGAAATGACTTACACGTTCCTTTCATGCCTTACGTACGTCTCACGCACACATTTGAAATTCGACATAACTCCACAACCAGAACAGCTAGATCGCTGAAATTTTGCTGGCGTGGCCCAAGACCATATTTGAGCAAAAGCACGTGAACAGCATTGACGTTGCCACCCACGGACGAATAAGTGAAATCTGACATAACTCTCCAACCTTCTGACCATGGTCCAGGATCTTGTTCGCACAGGCAGAGATGAAAGCAACGTTCACAACCTTTCTACATATGAACACGTGGAATTTGGCGTTACTTTGCAACGGATTATCTAGAGCGCTGAATTTCCTTGAGCACGGATTGGAAGTCATTGTAACAATTTCTGACAGTCGTGAACCGTTAGCGACAAAAACCTGCGGCAGAAATATGCAAAAAATTCATCATAACACCGGCAGTCGGTGCGCAGGCCAATTATTTTTCAGAAAGAGCATATCTGCCATGGTGACTGCACTATTTTGGTTAGTTGGTACCTATAACTGAAGTCTTCTCTTTCTTTTCTAAAACACTGATGATTATTATTCAGAATTCAGATTTAAGCGTGTCAAACGACGAGAAATGAATTTAGCAGCAGGAAGGGCAAAAAACGGGCATCACAATGCTCCAGCACGCATTCGCCACTGTTACACTTATCGACTTATAAAACGTTTTTAGGACACACAGTCAGCTTCGCAGGACCCGATTACTTCACGTCTTTTACCTTCTCGCATTGCCAGTCTATACTCTTATTGGAGCTGTTATTTTTCAAGTATTCATTTATTTTTGATATTTTTCCTTCTTTGTGCACTTTCAAAATAAAAATGTTCTAGGAATACATACACTTATATATATACATATATATATACATGTATATATAAGTGTATGTATTCCTTATATATATATATATATATATATATGTATATATACAAGTGTAAGCTTTGCACATAAAAAAATTTGCGTACAGAGTTGCTGCAGGCATTCATCGCTTTCTGCCAGAGGCTGAAAATAAATAGTCTGTACCAAACCATACTGTCTCCTTTTTTCATCTATTTTTGTATGAGGCACTGAAAGCGCATTCTGGTGACACTAAGTGTATGCATTTTTATGTGTATTTGTGAGTTCCATTGGTCGAACGCGATAACACAAATCCAGTATTAATTTAGAAAGTCGAAATTTGGGAGCAGTAATTCAAGGCTTTACACGGATCCAGAAATATGATACCGACTTTCATTCCTCGTACCTTCTGAGACAAGGAATTACATCTGAATTCGTAAATTATTGTTATACCAGCACATTTGCATCAAGCTCTGTAATATTTCAGTCCTTGTCTGCCACTGTGTTGCATAATATCATTTGATAAACAGTTCAAAAACCCATCGCAACAAGTACGAAAAAGAAAGTTTTCCGACGATTTACTAATCATTGAGACACTCATAACTTTTGTTTTAGGTCGAAGAGTTCACTTTAAGATTTATGAAAAGGGAAGGACTCTTAAGAGCCTGCCTCTAAAGGCATGTCAGCAACTATTTTTGAAGTTTTCCTATTGTAAATAAAAACTTAAATAGTTCAAGGCAAAGTGCCAAACACGACTGTTTTCGCTGTGCTGCTTCTGTTTAGTATCATTAAAGACATTGCGCAGATAGCTCTGAAGATCTTGGTAATATATTTTTCACTTTAATAAAGTCGCAGATCACATTTTTGGGTTTTGAAGCCCTGAAGCACCTTTATTGTTCTATGGGTTTTACAGTTGAGGAAATTGCAAAATCGTACAGATTCTGAATATCCTTCTTAGTTTGTTAATTTTATACATCGTTCATGTTAGATGGCAAGGTAGCGGTTAATCTCTGATAAAAAAGTGGGTGCACTTCGGATTTAACATCATCTGCCTTTGTAATGACACTTCTGTTCAATGTTAATCACTTTTTATTCTTGCATCCAATGTACCTATTTGACATTTTTTGAGGATTTTAATAATGTTTCCGCAGTCCTGTAGGTTGCAACTCATTTTATTGCTTTTTAGCTAAATTTTCTGCACTTTTACTTGAATTTTTTTTGGCTCGTTTGAATGCTGCATCTTTCTGGTTAAATTTACCATTTTGGTAATTTCGATTTTTTCAATCCTTTTTTCCTCAGTTTCTCATCGCAGGAAAAAGTTTGAGAGGTCCAACTTTGCTTTCGCCTGCTGCGCATACATATTTTAAGAATTACATTCAATTTTTTTGTGCAAAATTATTTTTCAGAAACTGGATGGCGAACATGATGACCGGATGTTGCGAACCTATGATCAGCGTTGTCAGGCATCCCGATCTACGCGCTTACATTTGTTAAAAGCACACTGTACTAATACTCCCAATTCCTGCTTCCAGGTTCACTTTTGTAAACTGTTTTTATGCCTTTTTGCCGTGCAACGCCATAGCGCTGCTACAGCCGGCAAAAACGCATTTTGTCGAGAGGTCGTCTGCGCGTGTGTTCGAAAGCGAATGCATTTTGTCACCCACTTTCATCTCAGCAACCAAGAAGGCTGGGAGGCTGAAAGTCTCGGTATATGTTCCTACCACGTGTGTCACCCTCCCATTTTAAAATCATCCCCCACATGCGTCTAAACCCCGCGTACGGAGCTCCGAAAAAAATATGCGAATTTCTTTGGCGGGAGACGATTTTGCGAACCCGGCAAGGTATAAAGCTGAAAATTTGCCGAAGTATTCTCTGTGCATGTGCGAGCTAAAAATTTCAAATTTAGCTGTTTTGCACGCTTGTGCAGCGCGTACGATCACATCAAAGTTTGCAACTTGGTACTATGCTAGCTCGAAAAGTTGCCGGAAACCAGTGGCTGAAATTTTGTCAGCATGTTTATCACCCATATAGGAAATCGTACCTAAACTGACTTCTGATTTGCACCTGCGCAACTACTAAGGGCACTTCAAAGATAATTGTAGCGAAATGGGTATTTCGCTTACCGTATAAGCTACGAGGCTGAAAATTCGCTGGGATATTCTACCATTAAGTGCGGTTTAAAATCTGCTAGGAGGTGAAATTTCCTGCCGGTAGGCGTGAGGAATACTTAAATTTACCGAAAATCAAAAATGAGTGCGTTTTACAGCGAACGACCGCACTCATCCAAACGTGTAAATGAACATTCAGTTCATTTGCATACTTGGATTTTTTGACAAACGACCACTTTAGCAACATTTCCACTTTATAGTGGATTGGAAATTTGCATTCTTCATTCTTTCAAAAAGCGGTCATTTGTCGAAAAAACAACTGGGCGTCATGCAAAAAACTGGTAAACATGCACCTGGAGGCCTATGCGGCCCTATAATGCAACACCTTCATCCCAACTGATGCCCTTTCTCCTGAATGTCGAAAGAGTCCAAAGCACGGCAGTATGAGCCCAAGTTTTAGGCTACACCGCAGGGATCATTCCTGCTACTAGCGACCTGCGAGTTTAGTACAAAAATGCATAACTGCACCAACAAACCCGGTGTGTTCCAGCCTGGGTTTTTATTTCTTTTGGAGCAGCACTGTTTAATTGAGTTCACTAGTAGTTTCTCCAGCAGAGTAGATAATGTGTACACTTGACTGATGGCTTAAATGCATTTTATCCATCGCTTAGTATCCCACAGCAAGTGTGATGACTTTGCATCCGCAGTACTTTAGTTTTGTCTTATTGGCAAAATTACTGCATTCTATAGTTACTTCTTTGTTAGCCTCAGAGCACGAGTTTAATGGCTAGTACTGTTACCTTCATGTTTTAACTGATGATTTTAAAAGTAGCGACGATTAGGAGAGAGGGTGTGTGAATGCTCTTCTGGGGGACAACGCCACGTTCACAAATGTCAGTCGTCAATTCGGCACATATAGTTGTAATGGAGAATTTCAATGCAAAACGTGGACGAGCGCGCGTGAAGGGCAAAAAGTAGAGAATGTGGCAAATGCGGCATTGGCAGGAAGATCGACAGAAATGATAGGCTTTTTACAGCTACAGAGATAAGCAAACTGTTTGCTGGCAGTACCTAGTTCCGAAAAGATGCGAGATGGGATGGAGTTGGATTGCGCCAAATGCTAAACCAAGTAGCGAAGCATATGAATAGGTAGTAGCTACTAACTGCAGGTATGCGACCCACGATCGAAGGGCATGATGTAGTTGCCCTTGGCGTTTGGGAACATTCCAGTAATATCAGTAACATGGGATATCTATGCTAATGACCTAAGCGGTCTAGGTATTTTGGCACAGAATATCATTAGTGATGTGCAGTGCTGCAGGCGCAGAATTATGCTTTTGCTTAGCTCAAACACCGCCTTGCAAATTTAAATAGTGAGGTACAAAATGCGAGCAACGGAAAATAGGATCATCGCAACGTTTAGGTCGGAATCTATAACGAACATGCGAACAGAGGAACAGTGCTTGTTTCATTGACTGTGACGACCCCACGATCATCATCAAGTGCTGCGTTCAGCCTCAAAAATATCTTAGAATAAAGCTACGAAATTAGAGCGGAATAATGCGCAAAACCACTAAAATGTGGGCTTCTTTTTTATACATAAAATAAGCTATAAATGTAGCCCGGACAAATTTTTTTTGAAATTTTCCTGTCTTGGCGAAGACTGATTTTTGCAGAGGAAAATGCCAACTTTTTTGCAGTTTTTTGCAAAAGTACTAAGGGACTAGTTTGCGTGTTGGTGCTTGTTTACATTATTCTAAGATAATGGTGTATTAGTAGCTGGAATTATTTTTCAAAAAAATTAAGTTTTCAGGAAATGGCGAAATTTTTGAACGAGGTTGAACAGTGTTACAGGCAGTGGGATAAAGTGAATAAGACGCTGACACATTCACTATCTGATTTTGCTAATGCTGTTATTTATGCATTCAGGTTAACGTACTGTTCCTGTCTTTTATGTGTCGCATCGCCATTGTCTTTAACCATTATCTTAAAAGTTTACGGATCCAGATTGTATGAGAGTTTGTATAAATACGACTTGGATCATTTCAGTGATGAAAAATCGTCTTAAAAAAGAGCCAAAGTATGTGGCGCAAAATCCTAATCATGTCCAGTAGATATCCGTGCAATGTCAGTTTGAAAATAGTAGATATGGTGCAATCAGCAATGCGCTAGATCGATAGCTCAGTTTTTTTTATTATTGCACTATAGAAATTATCAGCCTCAGGCACGCTGTGATTGATAACACGTTATAGCATAGTTTTATCACAGTTGCAATTCAATAACAGCAATTAGCAGTTCGTAGCCTATTTATAGCATTTGTGATGATATTACTGATAATGTTACGTTTGAATCTTTTCAACTAAGTGATGCACCTTCGAATTTATAATAATATTTTAGTGTGTACAGTACAATAGGATATGGTAATATGGCTGCTGATACTCTGGGATGTCGAGTGGCAACGGTTATTTACGGGGCGTTCGGAATACCACTGTTTTTTGCCTTCGTTAAGGAAGAAGGCAACTTATTGCGACTTTTTTTCATAAGATTCTACAGATTTATTCGACGATCCCGAATAACAAGTTGTGTCGGTGAGTCATAATTTTTTTTGGTTTTAAACCTTAAAATGAATGGGGCTATTCAGCCTCAGCGATTCGTCGATTTAGAGAGTTGCAAAAAATTCTTGATCTGGAACTACTTCAGATCTCAGGCACCTGGAAAGACCGAAAAAAGTGCTCGAAGATGGAAACCTGCTGTCGGATGCAGCTGCTTTCTCGAGTAAAACACCCGAATGTTTGCGCAAACACTCAAATGGTTGGAAAAGTATGAGTGCGGATTCTGGCCATTCCTGGTTTAAGCCATCCAGTACTAGCGAGCAGAGGAGGTGAACGTTCCTTCGCAGTTAATGTTTGGGAAATAGAGTTAGCCGGTTATCTTTCATCAAAAAATGATACTAAAATTGTCAGACATGGGTCAAATTGCCATTTTGTTGAAATCAGCGCAGATTTAGTTTTAAAAAGAAGTTAAGGTGCAACTAAGAGATAATAAGTTAAAGATTCTAGACGCAAGTAAAAGTTTAAGAGATTTGCTACAGGGTTAATTTTGAACGGCATATTTTTTCTAAGCTTTAATTTTTGCTTCAAATTCTTGCGCTTAGCTATTGCTTGTGGATGCGCAGGGCAAATTTTGTTTTTCTCTGATTTTTATTAACTTTTTCCAAATTTCTTGAAACTTTCCTAATTTGAGATTGTTGTAAGTTCACGACATTACAAAAGCTTTTTAATTTGCTTCTCCGATTTTTAAAATCGTCTACCATCATTTTGCTACTGTCAAGCCCTTACTCTCAACACTACTCTTAAAGACTCAAACCGCGATTTTTTCAGTCTGTGGTTTACCGGGTTGTTTGTAATGACTGATTAGGTTATTCCACTGCAGAATTGCTCGGCTTGTTTTTTTTTATTTTAAATTTCACCGTTGTAAGTTATTTTTCTTTTTCCGCCTTTCATCCTTCTATTTATTTTACGGAAATTCTTTTGCTTCTCTGCTGTGAGCCAGCACGCTTTTTTCTCTGAATTAATCATTTCCTGCATACATCTTGCAGCTCCAAAATACTCGCGCAATGATGTCAAAATAAATAAAATCCGAAAAAACTTCGCTACAGAGGAGATGGCAGTTCCAGCAATTCTTTGGAAGGACGCCCTATTGTTATCAAGGCTGCCAGAACCGCTCAGATGGATTACACTCTCAAGCTAGACACAACTGCTGAAAGCGTTTTGCTGCAGAGCTGCATGTGTCTGTTTAGTTATCAACCGCCTGTACGAGTATATACGTCGCTGACCCTTTCAGAATTGCCAAAGTTTAATTTCTTGCGAGTAACACTCGCTGAGAAGTAGCAAATGCCAGTCCCTTATTTATGGTAAAATACGTATTGCAAATTGTGTTAAAAATTTAACATTTAGCATTAACAGTAACTTATTAAAGGAAAAATAGATTCATAATGCGTTTGTATGAAAATAAATAAAAAATGCAGTTGTTATTTTACTGCGTATGGTCGTAACTGTTTGAAATTGTATTTAATTATGAATAATTTTTAGGGTATTTATTGCGGGTGTTGTGATATTTATTGCCTATCTATTAGCAATAAGTGGTGTTTTTACCTTAATGACCGATTGGGACTACTTCACTGCGTTTTATTTCTTATTTAACAGCGTTGCACTCATTGGTAATTTTTTGAATAAATTTTTTTCAAAATTCTAAAGTACATCTGATAATAAAATTTTATTACCGAATACAAAATTTGACAGTCACTTTTAGGAGTTTGAGCCATGCTATCTTAAAAGAAAAGCTTTTTGTACATGCATTACATTTCAGTCATTTCGCAACGCTCGTTCTTGGATTACTGTTTTGCAAAAAAAAGGCTGAGAAATTGCGTCAGTAAAAAAAAGCAGGAATTTGAAAAAAAAATGCACTTTGTATAGTTAAACGGATGTTTGCAGAGCGAAATTCACTGAAGTGTTACGCAGAGATTTCTGGGGTAAGCAAATGCCCAAAGAAAGAATGATTTTTTTCAGCAGTACGTGGCGTGCTGATGCATTTTAGTAACATCCAGCGCACAAAACTGTTTAGCCGTCCTAGCAAACATATTTGTATTTAAAAATGTAGATGTTTCTCTTTCTCAGTGAGCGTCTATTAGGTGTGATTTCAAGCCCTTTATTTTTGTAAATCCACTATTTTCAGGAAGAACGCAAAAGTGCTGCAATTTGAGCACCTCTGCATTCTTCTCCTTTGCAATCAGGCGGTCTAAAAGCAAAAATATCATCAGCGGGAAATGATATTAAAACGGGAAGGTCGCATATGGTATGGACACATACTCCCAAAGTTTCAGCTTCTAACTTTTTGGTTCTCGGGTTGAAAGTGGGTGACAAAAATTGCGATCACACACACAGAGCTTCTTCCGAATATGCGTTTTTGCAATTTGCATATATGCAAAAACGTATAAAAACGTTGCCAACACGAACGCACATGTTAATCTGTTAAGCAACAATCATTCATATCATTAGCGACCCAGCTGCTTCAAGGTCGGCAAAAACGCTTAATCGCACCGGTAAGCTTGGTGCGTTGTTATTTAAATTTACTTTGGAGCGCACTAGCGGCGCATCATTTTTACTCTATCTTGGAATTCAAAAGCATTTTTGATTCAAATGGCGTCGCGGTAAAGATTTGATACGACGAATATAATTTTAACGTAAACTACGGATTATCATATTTTTTTTTGAACTTCTAACAGACCCTGTCTTACACTAAGTTTAAGCTTTTAATATGCTTGCCGGTTACCATTTCCAGGTTTTGGGGATGTTTTCCCTTCGGAGCCAAGAATTATCCTCGTTAATACATTGTTTATTGTGCTGGGTGTTGTGTTATTTTCAATGTGTTATTTTATTCTTCAGGAGGAAATACGGGAAAAGGTTTGTTTTTTTTTTTTTTTTGAATTGGTTACAGCAAAAAGCACCACCTTTCTTTAGGAAGATCTATAAGAGAAAGCTTGCTGCTTTTATAAAAATCTTGAACACAAGAGGAAAATTGGTAAAAAAAAAAGAGAAAAAAAAACCTTTGTTTTATCGGAATCCTTGTCTTGTTTTCTTTTATGATCAGTTAAAAGCGAAAGCATGAAACCAAGTCATTTGTCAGCTCAACAAGGCTACTATATTAATAAATGGCAACGCGCACCAGACTAGCCGGTGCGGTCATGCGTTTTGTGCAATTCAGCCCATC